AAAACGACACCAATACCAACGTTGCTGGCATCGGTGTCTAATACAAAGGGGTCCTTGCTCACAGGATAGGCCAAGTTCGATGAAACGAACTATTGCACTCCTTTGTCCACGTAAATGGTTGGCCTTTCTCAGTCAATTGGTGCAGAGGGCGGGAAACGTCAGCAAAAGAAGGTAAAAATCGCTGTTAGTTAGTGCATAGTCCAAAAAAGCTTCTAACATCTCTGACATTTTGCGACTTTGGCCAGTTTGTGACAACCACAAATTTTTCAGGGTCTGTGGCAACCCGTTCCTCGCTTACGACACGGCCAAGGAACTTGACCCTGCGCCGGAAGAGTTCACACTTCTTTGAGTTCAACTTCCGGTTGGCCGCCCTTAGCTGAGAGAAGATGAGAGTCAGACATTGTAGCTCCAGTTCAAAGGTTTTCGCGTGTGCAATCGTGTCATCTAGATAGACCAAACACCTCAGGTCGCCAAGGATATTGTCCATCAATCGCTCAAAAGTCGCGGGTGCGTTACATAGACCGAAAGCCATCACATTGAGCTTCCCCAGCCCATTACCTGCAGTAAAGATAGTTTTCTCACAGTCCTGCTCCTCTACCTCCACTTGCCAGTACCCACTTTTGAGATCTAGGATGGAGAACCAGTTTGAACCAGATAAGGCATCGAGAGTTGTGTCTACCCGCGGTAAAGGATACGAGTCCTTCTTAGTCAGTTCGTTTTATTTCCGGTAGTCAACGCAAAATCTGGTACTGCCATCCTCTTTCTTCACCAGGACCACCGGTTTCCCATGGGCTGGCCGAGGGTTCAATTATGCCTTGTACATGCATCTCCTCAACAGCTTTGAATTCCTCCACCCGTTATGCAAGTAGCAGCCTCCGGCCAAGATCATGAGGTCCATTAGAGAAGATGTCTTGGAATTCGAGCAAAAGGTTGCGCAATTGATGCTGTTGGTCGGCGGTCAACCCACTATCGCTTCGGAGGTAGAGATCTTTGAGATGCTCAGGTAGGCCCTCATCCGGACTGATAAGTTCGCGATTGGGGCCACTGTTAGGGTAAACTATGCTCTCTACAGGTTCACAAGTAACCACTTCTATACTAGAGGGAATCTGTCTTGGCTCATTGGTTAGGTTGACCATTCGCACTAGAATGTAGTCACGCTGAGCATCCACTAATGTTTTTCCAACCATAGCACCGGGCGGGAGTGTGGTGGTAAGTGATGGCCCTACTGTCTCCCAGGGTTCACCATATGGCTCACCTATAATCTTAGCGGGTGCCAGTATTTCACTGTAAGGTAAAATTTTACACAAACTAAGGTACCCCGGGTAAACAGAAGTGTGTCATCAGAAGTTTCCTACCTTCCCGTATCTTGTGCACGGTGACTCGGTGGTGATTAGGGCGTCAAACTAAGACACATCAAAACGGCCTCAAATCGCGAGGAAAACAATTACACAGACTACTCTCTATGAAGGTAAGACTTTATTTCTTTGACTATTTCATACAACTTTACATTTACTGAGCTCAAAAGCAAGTCCAACTAAATACAAACTCTTTAATTATCCACTGTGAAAGAGCCCGTGACAGAGCTTGGGCCACAAGTGACGCCACCACCGACCTGAGCTTGTCTTGTCTCGCACCCTACCTTCCATATATGGAAGGTCCCATAAAAGGCTACGTCACGCATAGTGACAACATTATAGTACTAATTCCAAGGTTGTACTATTTTCTTCGTTTATCCGTTCGGAATGTCAAGAAGGATCATGAGCTTTTTCAAAAGTGTGTCAGGTAAATTCCTTTAGACTATTTAACCGGTTATTGATGCGATAAGCGAAGAAAGTGACTAGTTTCAATAGACATTTCTGATCTTGACTGCAATCGAAAATCCTTGTACGAATTATTAAAAAGAAAAATTGAAAACTTACTAATAAAAGGACTTCCACTATTTTGTTGCTAGATAACACAAGTGTCCCGACAGAGACTGTGGATGGAGCTAATGCTAATGCTTGAAGAAATGCTGTAGGCATTGCAGGTTTGTGTGACACGAACATTTTTGGTTCGAATTTCTTTGTGAGATTGTCTTTTTCTACTTTGGGGGAAGGGGGGCTTGTTGCATGAAGCGCTGTAATGCAGGTTGTTTTCATCAAGGAAAAGACGCAATACTTTTATTTGAACAGAAGTAGAAAGGTATAATTTAGTATTTATCATAGATTATTTGCTTTTTTTCATGCACAACAGCACTGTCAGATGAACTGCTGGAAGGCATATTTAAACGAATTTCCCTGAGAGAAATTGTAATGTCCCCATATCTCCCAGCGATGGAGAAGAATTTCAGGCAGCAACTGTTTGTGTGACTATTCTTCATCTCGATGAATGAACATCCAGTATATAAAGAGAGAGCATCTAAAGAGTATAATGTCTCATTCACCGGGTTTTACTTTCATTTTTCTTTAAGATATATAAGAAAAGTGAATGTAAATGTCAAATTAATGGCCATTTTACACATAAGCCTAGCTTGCTCAAGTAGACTTGAACATTTAGATCTAAGCGGGCAGCCCGTAACTTCAATAACTTTCTAGTTGCAGGGGCCTGTGCCACCCATTCGAACCTTGTTAAAGCCAGTTCTTTTAGAGTCGGAGAACAAACTCATAGTCCTTATATTTTCCATCTCTTTTGTTTAAAAGTGAGCTCTTTGAGGTCAGAAATCAGAGAGTTGTTAAAGGCAGATATTGATCAGCACACATGTAAAGGTGTCAAAACACGTAGAGGTCCGCAGACTTCCCTTTCGTTGAGATTGCAATGAGGACCGTTTTTCTTGTCCCTTCTTCTGAACGGTAGGCGCTGAACCCAGCACAATTCTTCGCCTAGATCCTTCAAAGTGCCCAGATCTCTCAAAACAGTCTTCCGAGAAGTGTTCAGAGCAGATCACAACTATTCCCGCGCGATTAAAGTTTTCCGGGCGGGTTCGCACAAATTGCATACATTTTTCCCGCTCTGACCTATTTGCAAAGCTTCGATGTAGAGAATTACCACCAGCATGGTTGCATGATTGCTACAGCCTTAAATTACGCATCGATTTCCCGTCATTTTTTGTCTATGTTTTCGTAAGAATAGAGTAAAGCACTATGTTGTTTGTTTGACATTTTGCCATGTGAGATTTTCGCGTTGAGCCTTGGACTTCACTTCTTCTGAGTCCTGCGACCAACTTCTGGAACATAGTCAAATAATGGCGGACGCGAAATCGTGAATTTAACGACCCAAAAAAAGACACTTCTGGTGCTTGAACTAGATTGAAATTTGGCAGGGTTGGTGAAAGAGACACGCTGAACATGAAAAATGATGTACAAAAATTTTGATCTCAGGGGCACATAACGATTGTACAAACACAAGAACCAATAATCTTGTTGCTGTTATAATGTAGCTAGACAAAATAAAAACTTTTTCTCTGAATAGAGTTGACATATCAGCTAGAGAAGCAGTAGATATTACTTGTTCGCAACCTTCGCTGTTCATGTTGGGTTTGGTCGGAATGGAATTCTCTCTAAGTGATGTGAGATACGTACTAGAGCACACTCGTCTGTTCTTCTCAGAAATGTCGCGTTTTTCAATCGACGAGCGTAATTTGCGTTCATTAGGGTCAGAGTTTGATACCAGCATTGTTTTGCTATGATCTCATTTCACTTTGAAATAGCTTCAGTGGATAGTGACCTGACCAGTTTGCGAGTCTTCCTTATGTTGAATAATGCTTTCTAATACTATATTAAAAAAGTTGAATGTTGTGCTGAACAAACCTTGATTCTAAGGGGCCGACCATTTAACTCTTGAGGGAGGGGAGGTGGGTGATTTTGAAAAATTAATTTCCTGCAAGCGCTTGTTGGAAGAAAAAAATTGCATGCAGCCCAAATGTAACAGAGAAAAAGAACATTTAGAACGGAAGAAGTATATCCTTCACAGCAGATTACTAGAAAAAAAAATTTCTTGATGACCAGAAATCACCCACCCCCCCCTTAAAAGTGTTAAAAGGCCCCTAAAATCATGTGTAGCATGAACTGGCAATTTGAATTATCAAGAATTGAATCGTGGTTGTTTGTATTCCTAGTATTCTTTTAGAAACATATTATGACATCAAATGAGTAGAAAATAATCGCTGTGAATGGAAGTTGGTGTCCTATTTGATTTTAGTCTCCGCGGGGTCAGGAGGATATATTGCTCGCCAGTTTTGATATAACCTTTATTTGAGAGTTTATTTATGATAATTGAAAACTGGCGTCATGTCAGTCATAAAATTTTCCTTCCGTTTTCGTTGCGTAGTACTGTTTTTTTTTTTTTAACACCTGCAGATCTTCTTTATTCTTTTACACCTGTAGATCCACAACCATGCACTAGCGATCTCCTGCCTGATAAAATGTCAGTGCCACTGCCTCCCACCCAATTTGAGCCATTTCAGCCAATGAACTTCCAATTCCCTTTGACAAAAGTTGGTAAGCAAAATCGTTATTTTAATGCCACGTGGTAGAGGGACTTTTGGACTTCACTCTTTCAGGTATCTTGCTGCCTCTGCATGGAATAGCTTATCAGATGAATTAAGAACGTC